CTCCTTTCTCCTCCCACTGAGCTTCACCCCATTCCCACCATCTCTTAAGGCATTTTGAAGGGAAGCAGATAAATGCAACAGCCCATTTCTGCCCAAAGGTAGGTATTTGAGAGCAGTGGTGTCATTCCCCCCCCCCTTAGCGTTTCACCTGGTGTGGTCTGCACCCCCTGCACCCCCTAGTAGCACTACTGGTTCCACCCTTTAACCCACCACTATATCCACCAAGTGAGTTTTCTACTTAGCAATCACACCAGTGCCGCTACCGGTAAGAATTCCTCTCAGGCTATCCTACCAGTGTGGCCAAATGTGGGGGTGTTTACACTTAACCTACCAAATGTGTAGGTTACACTTAACCTACCAAATGTGTAGGTTTACACTTAACCTACCAAATGATCCACAGTGGTCACTGAGAATGCTCAGTATCAGTCTTCCCTGATCCCCACCTCTGCTACATGTAAGGACCTCTTCCTGTCTGCCTTGTGTTACTCCAACTGTGGGGTCAGTCTAAATGCCCTCAAGTTTCCTATGCTACTTTTATCCCAAACTGAACACAACTCTTTCTACCTTCAATGCTGCCAACATAGAAACCTTGTCTGAAACCCAGCTCTTAGAATGATAGTGATTCCAAAAACAAAAAGCATATAAAAAACAATAGCTGGATGGTATGATGCATTCCACTTGGGGCCTTTTTACACTAGTCAGTTACAGAAGTTAAACATAAAAGAGCTCATTGTTAAATATAAAAGCAGCCAAAACACCACACTCTCTTCTTTCAAGTTAAATCAGACCCTAACTAAGCACTCAGCTCACTCCTTCCTACCACTCCAACCCTTTTCAAACACATGTTCCTCTGCACGCCTCCCAAACCCCAAGGCTTAACTCCCCACATCCGACTTAGGCTGCTGCCCCACTGAAGAATTAATGCAGTTTGACGTCACATTAATGGCCATGGCACAATGCTATGGAATCCTGGGATTTATAGCTTTGTGAGATATTTAGCCTTCTCTGGTGCCACAACAAACTACAAATATCAGGATTCCATAGCATTGTGTCGTGGCAATTAAAGTGGTGTTAAACTGCATCAATTTTGCAGTGTGGCAGCAGCCCAAGACTGAAAATCCTGTCACTCATCAACTTCCATGCAAATCTCCCCAAACATTCCATCAACCAGCAATCACTTCAACACTCCATTCTTTCCCATGTTCCAGCAGCCACATTGTTGTTTTTGTATGCCTTCAAGTCTTTTCTGACTTATGGTGACATTATTATTATTATTATCTGCCTTTGCCTCCCTCTGAGGCTGAGAGAGTGTGACTTGCCTAGGGTCACCCAGTGGGTTTACATGGCTGAGCAGGGATTTAACCCTAGTCTCCAGAGTCACAGTCTAACACTCAAACCACTGTGCCATGCCATTTTCATATCCAAATCCATGATATCATAGCAACATCTTCTCATATCCTGAGATTGGCAGCTGTGGGAGGGGTATTTTGAATTAAGTCAGAAAGCTCTCCTAGAGTCTTCGATCAAATTACAAACCTCACAGCATTTAAAATGGAATCATACTGATATAATTGTTTAGTGTGAAAGAGACTTTCCTGGCTAATTTATATACAAAAGTGGTGGGAATGACTAAATTTGGCTTACTTGGCCACAAATTGTGCTGGTACTTCTTAACAGCTGGGGACACCATCTGTTTGTGAAAATATATGATTCTATGAACTGAGCAAAAACTTCCCCTGTTTTAAATATGTTTTCCTCCTCTTTGCCCTTCAGTCCACTCCCGAGGATTCATATTTCTGAAGCAAAGCTGCTGCCATAACCTGAAATGAGTTGCATGCATTTTTTATGACATAATCTCTTGTATAAATGCATCTTCTGGAACACTGACAACCCAATAAAAAGATCTGGCTCATATGAGAAACAAATAACTTTTGATATCTGAGGACCCAAGAGAAATTTCATTAAATAGGACCTGAGATTTTTGCTAATTTAATTTCTTTTTCTTTTCCTCCCAAGGAGCATTCTTAAGGCTATCAGTCAGACAGGCTATTGCATGATGAGAAAGGGTAGACTGTTCTGAAAGCTAAAAGCCATGAAATAAAACAGAAATGCTCAGTGGAGCTGAGAAACAGGACTAGAAATATTTTCAGTGCAGAACATGTTTAAGAGCCAACATTATTTTGCTCTCCTACGTCAGCTTGCATGTAGATTAAATTTTCTACACTTATGATGAGTGAAGCCTGCATGGTAAGCTGGCATTATTGCTTTTGTGGATCTGCATCTGAATTGCAATCTAAAAATACAGCAGAAGGTAGCTGATTTCATATATTCAAAGTCCTTCCCTCAAAGAATAGTGCCATCATTTCAGCTATGCATGGGGAAGCCAATGAATGAAGCAAGGAACTCCCCTTGTGACATTCCCAATGTCATGGGAGAAGGCTGGGAGTATGTCCCAGGATCAGGAGTTCTCTTTCCACTCCAGCATGCTGATTTCTTCCTCATTCCCATCATTGGCTTTAATCATGGTGTAGCATTACATCTGCATGGTTTCTTAACATAATTATCTTAATAATTATCAAAAAGTAGAACCACTTCTGACCAGGTTTGGTAAAACATTTCCAACTTCCTAGTTTTAAACCCTGGTTTTAAATAGGGGTGGGCAAATTTGACAGGTCCAGA